CCCACAGCGGCCTCTGGGTTTTGTCTGCCTTGGGGTTTCCTTCCACGTCCCGGGCCACATTAGAGGGGCGGTGGTGGCGGTGGTGGTGGGGGGTTGGATGTGGTCGCAGGGCGACCAGGCACCTCCGGGTCACAGCCGGTGCCCTTGGCATCTTCCTGCGCCCTTGTTTCCTCAGTTCCCTGTGCCCTCCCCGAGCCACACACTCTTGGAGACGCACTTTCCTCCAGGTGCACAGGACCCATCTCTGCTTAGCGAGGGTGCCCGCCCACAGCGCGGGCCTTGGAACCAGGGCTGGCAAAGGGCTGAGGTCTAATGGACCTGCAGGAATTGGCCCATGGGAGAGCTATTTTACTTCGCTTTTGGCGATAGAGGGGGCTTTGGTGGGTGTGCCATTGAAAAGGCAGGCAGCATTTGCTGGGCCTGCGTGTGTGAGTGTGAGTGTGTGTGTGCACCTTGTTGAAGCTCAGGTGCTATGGGAGGTGGGGGGGACTCCTGGCTCTCCTGGCTGTGGCCGGCGGGCTCTCCCCATGATGAGTTGAGACAGGCCCCTGTGTGTATCAGTGTCTTAAAAATGTGGGGAATGTGGGCTCTGGCACACTGTGGAGGGGGCTGGCTAGGCACTGGGGGAAGCCCTCCCCTTGAACCCTGGGCACCCTCCTGCACTTCCCAGGGCGCCTCATGGACATCTTGCGCTGCCGTGGCAAGAGGGGCTACGAGGCCTTCCTGGAAGCCCTGGAGTTCTACTACCCGGAGCACTTCACACTGCTCACCGGCCAGGAGCCCGCCCAGCGCTGCTCCATGATCCTGGGTGAGTGGGCCCGCAGTGGGCGCCGCAGCTCCCACCCCCTGGCAGAGGTTGCTTGCCTTGTTGTCCCTGTCAGGGAGGCACAGCCATGATCCCTGTTGACCCGATAGGGAGACGGAGGCACAGAGAGACCCGGAGAGGTCTGCCCAAGACCCCGGAGCAGGCTGAGTGTGGGCTGGGATCCTAATCCAGTTAGTCAGAGTTCCGAACAAGGCCCCTAAAATTGATTGCAGGCTTGTATGTGTCAGACATACATGGGTGTACGGTTTCTTATGCAAAAAGTTCAAACAGTCCAGGTGACTTTAGAATAAAGAGGAAAGACCTTTTACTTCTTCCTTCAGCTCTGCTCTGCTGGTAACCCTTCGTCGAGTCTCCCTTTTTTATTTTTTGTTTTTTAAAAAAATATATTTTATTGATTCTTTACAGTGAGGAAGGGAGAGAGATAGAGAGTTAGAAACATCGATGAGAGAGAAACATCGATCAGCTGCCTCCTGCACATCTCCCACTGGGGATGTGCCCGCAACCCAGGTACATGCCCTTGACCGGAATCAAACCTGGGACCCTTCAGTCCGCAGGCCGACGCTCCATCCACTGAGCCAAACCGGTTTCAGCGAGTCTCCCTTTTTTTTGCATTTATACATGTGCCACGTACGTACACACACACACACACACACACACACACACACACGGGATCATCCTACATGTGCTGCTCTGTATTTCACGGTTTCTCAGAACAACTGATTTTCATGATTTTCCCCACCTCTGTTACACTTGTTTTAAATGACTGCACGGTGTTCATTAGTGCTGCTGGCCACAAGTCACTTAACTGGTCCCCTGCTGATGGACATCTAGGTTGTTTCCAGTTTCGCAATATTACAGACGATGCTGGGAACATCCTTCTGTATGCATCTTGGTGCAAATGTATATGTCTCAGGAGGAGAGGTTCTGAGGAGTAAAGTTTCTCAATGAGGATGTGTATTTTAAATGTGAAATCAACATACATCTCACCAGCGGTGTGTGGGTGTCCATGTTGCTGTACCCTCATGCATCCTGCGGATGTAAAAACATTTTTGCCAGTTTGATATGTCAAAAATAATGTTTTTTTAAAAAAATATATTTTATTGATTTTTTACAGAGAGGAAGGGAGAGAGATAGAGAGTTAGAAACATCGATGAGAGAGAAACATCGATCAGCTGCCTCCTGCACATCTCCTACTGGGGATGTGCCCGCAACCCAGGTACATGCCCTTGACCGGAATCGAACCTGGGAACTTTCAGTCCGCAGGCTGACACTCTATCCACTGAGCCAAACCGGTTTCGGCCAAAAATAATGTTTTTAAGTTTGTACCTCATTGAGAGATATAATTCATAGCTTACAAATTAGTAAACCTTGGGCAATGGACACGACCTCTCTGTGCCTCGGTTTCTCTGTCTTTAGGGTAGATATAATAATAGTACCTGTATTAAGTGTTGTCATGAAGATTAAATAAATTAACATATGTATCTAGCCCAAAGAATAAAGTTAAATGTTAGTGGCTATAATTATTATTATAATAATGGTGAGGTAGGGCCTATTTATTAGCCACTTTTGTTTTGGGACTTACCTACCGATAGTTTTTACCCTTATTTTTATTTGTTTGTTTGCCTTTTTTTTTATTGACCTGTAAAAGCTCTTTATATATTGTGGCTCTGAATTCTTATATTTTTCTTTTGCTCTGTTGCTTGTTTTTTTTTTTTTAACTTTGTTTGTTACATCTTTCATCATTCTGAAAGTTTAATATTTGTATATGGATTTATCTATCTTTTCTTTTATAGCTTCTGATTTTTGTGCCTTATTTAGGAAGGCCTTCCTTACCCCTAAATTATAAAAACATCGGGTGTTCCCCCAAAATATATATACACACTTTGACTAATTATAAAGGCAGTGTTTATTAAAATACATTTCATTTTCAAAATTGAGCTATCAGCTATTAAAGTGTGTATACATTTTTTGAGAAACCCTGCATATTCCAGAGTTTTCTTCTAGTGTTTTTGTGGTTTGGGTGTTTCTGTGCAGTTTGCTGTCCCTGTGGGTTTTATTTGCCTGACTTAGCTTTTCTCCCCACTGTGTCTCGCAGATGAGGAGGGCCCCGAGGGCCTGACCCAGTTCCTGATGACCGAGGTGCGGCGGCTACGGGAGGCTCGAAAGAGCCAGCTGCAGCGGGAGCAGCAGCTGCAGGCTCGCGGCCGGCTGCTGGAGGAGGAGCGGGCAGGACTGGAGCAGCGGCTGCGGGAGCAGCAGCAGGCTCAGGAGCGCTGCCAGCGGCTGCGGGAGGACTGGGAGGTGGGCAGCCTGGAGCTGCTGCGGCTCAAGGATGAAAACTACATGATCGCCATGCGCCTGGCACAGCTCAGCGAGGAGAAGAACTCGGCCGTCCTGCGCAGCCGGGACCTGCAGCTGGCGGTAGGCCCTGGGAGATGGACAGGGCACCGTGGGGCAGGGGCGACCTCTATAAAAAAGGATGGTAATGTGATAGCCAGCTCGTGTCCCAGAGCCACCATCTATTGGACTGTGGGCAAGGCCTTTCACTACCCTGTGCCTCAGTTTTCTCATCTGTAATATGGGGGTGTTGATGGCACTTATTTCATTGAGATATGGCTGTGGTTCTCAACTGGGGACAGTTTTGCCCCCCAGAAACAATGGCCACGTCAGGAAACATTTTTGGTCGTCACAGTGAGGTGTGTTCTATTGGCCTCTAGTGGGTAGAGGCTAGTGTTGCTGATAAACATCCTACAGAGCACAGGCCAGCCCCCAAACCAAGAATTATTTAACCCAAAATGTTAGCACGTGCCGAGGTGGAGAAAACTTGGGTTACAGGGTGCATCAGTTTAAGGTATGTACAGTGCCTGCACAGAGTTAGTGCTCAGACCCTGCATTGTCATTAGCCATTGTCGTTTCTATTATTATTATTATCTGTGTGCCATGCCGGTTACATGCATCACGTCACATGTTCCCACGGAGGTCCCATGCACTAGGTTCTCATTTTGAAACTCAACGCTGGGCTGAGATTGTAAAGGGACGTGCTCATCACAAAGCTGGGAATGGCACCTGGATTCGAACCAGGTCTGCCTGGCACCAGGGCCGGCCGTCCCCCTGATGCTGTTCTGCCCGATCTTGTCCAGGTGAAGTCTCACCCGGCCCTCTCCAGCAGTGAACAAGGCCCCGCCTCTTACAGGTGGAGAAACCGAGTCACACTTCTTGCTTTCCTATTGGCACTCAGCATGGGGATGAAATTGGAATGTTACTGCCCAGGGGATTGTCTCAAGGATTTTATTTTGAATCCTCACCTGAGGATATTTTTTCCATTGATTTTTTCTTTTCCCAGAGAGAGTGGAAGGGAGGGAGGGGAGAGAGAGAAGGAAAGAGAGAGAGAGAAAAACAGAACCACCCATGTGAGAGAGACACATCGATTGGTTGCCTCTCACATGCTCCCCCACCGGGGCTGGGGATCCAACCTGCAACCCAGGCCTGTGCCCCTGACTGGGAATCTAACCCGAGACCCTTCAGTGTGTGAGCGGATGCTCTAACCATCGAGCAACACGGGCCAGGGCTGTTTAAAGGATTTAACCGTGCCAGCGGCACACAGTAGGCTCTCTCCTGCAATACTGTGCGAGGCTGCCTGGGGGGATTCTGACCCTGGGGTTGGAAGACCCATGAGCCTCAGCGGAGGCTGCGGCATTGCAGGTGTGACAGGTGCCTGTTGGAGGCTGTCGTGTGGGTGCACTGGAGTGTGGGAGCCTGTGGCTGGGGTTTGGGGAAACGAGTCCTGATTGGGGGCGTTGAGGCCACAGGTTGAAGGGCCTAGACTGCCAGGCTCGATGGGGGGCGTGGGAGGCAGATGCTTGGAGTGGGGTGACCAAGAGGCTGTTCTCTGCCTGCTTGGTGTTTGGCATGAGGTAGGGCTGCCTGAGGCCCAAGACTGGCTGCAGATTGGGCGAAGGGTGGCCTGGGCAAGGCTTTCCTCTCTGTGCCTCCGTTTCCTCACCATCCTGGAGGCGGGAGGTCACAGAGAAGGACGATGTAGCGAAACAGCACCTCCCCTGCCCAGGCACGGTCCTCACTGCTTGCCCTGCACCGACCCCTTGACTTTTCCAACAACTCTATTGGGACAAGGGTGGCGGCACTGTTACTGTCCCCATTTATGGATGAGGAAACTGAGACACAGCAAGATTGGTTAGAGCACTTTCCCAGGATCCCACGATTGAGAATTTCTGAGCTTGCTCTTGGCGCTGCTAGGGTCGGGTGGGGCGGGTGGCAGGTGGGAGAGCTGGGTTCCCCATCGTCATCCGTGCCTGCTTTTCTGAAATGGGCCTGAGACCTGCTATGAGTGTTCTTGGAAGAAGGGCTCTGCTCAGAGAGGACAGTGTGAGGGCCACCGGCCCAGGGAGTTGGGAGTGGCTGAGGCTGGAATGGTCTGGAGCATCATGCGTGCACCAAAAGGTTGCTGGTTTGATTCTCGGTCAGGGCACATACCTAGGTTGAGGGTTTGATGTTTTTCTCTTACACTGATGTTTCTCTCTCTCTCTCTCTCTCAAAATCAGGTGAGGATTAACAAAATAAAAAAGAAGAGGCATTGGAGGTGCCTCTGTATCTGCAGATTAGCTATAGGTGCGCATAGTGTGACCACCTAGGGGTAAGAGAATCTGACACTAGGCGGAGGATGGCTGCTTTTTCCCAGTTTAGTGGGTAGAGGGTGAGGGGTGAAATTCAACTAATGGATAAGTTTCTCTGTAAATGTTGCTACTGTAAATTTGCCTAAATTTGGGGGGCTTTTTTCGGCCACAAAAATGAGCAAAGGCGTTGCAGATGGAAATGAGTAGAACAGCTGATGGCTCCTGTCTTGGCAGCCTGGGCCTCCTTCCCCACGGGCAGGTGTGTGGCGGCTGTGACTTAATACTGTGCTTTGTAAGGTGCAAATTTAATGAGCGGCGATTTCCAAGCAACATAAACTTAAGGAACCAACACTGTAATTTTGTGCTAAGTGAGTTTGTACCCCAGGATTAAAGGCACCCGCATGTCCTGGCATTCGGCAGAGACTCCCAGGTGCTCTGCCCCGTGAGCTCATCGCGGGAGCGTGCTGGCCAAGGGTCAGGCGGGAGGCCGTGGTGTGTGGCTGCGGTTTGCTGGAGAGGGTGTGACCACGCTTGCCCTTGTAACCAGCTGTCTCTCTCCGACGGTTTACAAAGCATGTTTTGTGAGGGAAAGGAATGTGAGAATCATGAATTTCTTCCTGAGCCTTTTGCGGAGGAGGAGAAACTCCTGACCCAGCCTCAGACCCGTGTGTGTGTGTGTGTGTGTGTGTGGCCATGCTCGGCTCTGGGAAGTGTGTGGCTGCCATTCATTTTCCGAGACAGGCCAGGGCATTCCGAGGGCACCAGACACTGGCACGCCAGAGTGTAGCGCCAGAGGTCATTGTGCCTTCTTTCAACAATGACTTCGTTTTGTGGCCTGCCACCTGCTGCTCCTCTTGTCACTATCTAGCAACCTCGGACCCCACATGAATTTGGAAAATACCTCTGGCTGAGTGCGGTTATAATCCAGCAAACCGATCGTGTATATCTGCTCTCAGCCTGCCGGCCACCTCACGGCCGCCCAGCCACCACCCCGGCCAGCTCCGGCTGCACCCGCCGTGTGGTGGCGGGTTGGGATTTTTTTTAAGGCGGTGAAGACAGCCACTGTCACACCCCTGGCAGCTCTGCAGCCAGCCTCTGACCGCTTAGAGGTCTCTGCCCACCTTCTGTCTTGTTTGCTTCTGGCAATGACTTTGGGAGGCAGCGCATGCATGGAGCGGGGGCAGTGAACGGGCCCATTTTACCTATAAAGAAACTGAGGCCCAGAGGAGGCCAGTGACTTGCTCAGGATGACAAGAGGGCAAAAGTGGTACAACTGAAACCTGGACCCCAGGCTTGGAGTTCCTGTTGAGGATGAACTAACAGCACAATCTTCTAGCGGGGGGCCTGGGAACCCTCAGAACCATCCTCTTCCTCCTCTTCCCCCTTTTCCTTGGGGGATGAGGAAACCGAGGCACAAAGAGAGCCCGTGACTTGCCAAAGGCCACACCAAGTTCGAGGCGGAGCTGGGCCCAGACCCTGGTCCCCCTGTTCTCGGTGTAGCCCTCCTCCTCCTCCGTCAGCTGCTACTGGGCTCTCTGGCCTGTTCTCCGTGTCGGAGCCGTGGGGCTGATGAAGATGAAGCACCGCGGCCAAAAGTCCTTGAAGCAGAGGCCCCTGGGAGGGCGGCTTGGCCCTGCCGCCCCCTCTCTTCCTCATCGTGTTTGCCCAGCCGGTACTTCCTTCATAGACAAGTCCAGGAGGGCGCCTGCTCAGACCCCTCTGGGGATCTGGGAGGCACCCAGGAATGAGGAGCAGGCCTTCTCCCCAGGGGCCTCCCTGGGATCCTTCCCTGGGCCGCATCCCTCCCTGGGCTGACCCATGTGTTGCTCCCCAGGTGGATCAGCTGAAGCTGAAGGTGAGCCGGCTGGAGGAAGAGTGTGCGCTGCTCCGCAGGACCAGGGGGCCACCCCCCGGGGCAGAGGAGAAGGAGAAGGAGAAGGAGAAGGAGCCGGACAGCGTGGACCTGGTCTCTGAGCTGCGTGCAGAGAATCAGCGGCTGACAGCGTCCCTGCAGGAGCTGCAGGAGGGGCGGCAGCTGTTGAACACCTTCACAAAATTTGACATATGAAGTTTTAAAAGCCTGCTGTCAATACAACAAAACATGGCCTCTTGTCTTGGCTGAGCGTTCTGCTCTCTCTGCCTTTAGTCTGTGGTCTGTGGGTGGCCCCACCAGGTAGGTCTCTGGATGCTTTGCCACTGTGCACCTGATTTTGTCTGTGAGCATTTTTAGGGGAAAGGGCCCCCGCTTTTATTATTTGTAGAAGAGTCTGGAAAGTTGAGACCCCTGGGGTCTGGGTGGCCCAGGGCTTGCTGGGGGTCCTGGGGCAGGTCTTTGGCAGTGTGGGCTGGCCATTGCTCCACACAGGAAGTGGGGGGTGGGAGCCAGGGTTCTGGTGTACTTCATAGGGTGGGGGTGCCTGGCTGGGTGTGGGTTTGGGGGTGGATCTTGGAGCCATGGTCTACCTGCAGGGGACAGGCTCAGCCCCTACGAGGACCCCTTGTGAGAGGGGCAGGAATAGGCCTCGGAAATGGCCACCTATCTGCTGCCTGGGCGGCTGGTGGGGGCCGGAGCAGGAGAGAGCGTGCCTAGTTTTTGTTTCGGAACATGATCCTGGCTGAACTCGTTCAAGCATGTCTCACACCCTTAGCTCATCTGCACCCCAGATGTTCCCTGGAGGGTGGGCAGGGCTGGTGGGCCACGCCCACTCTACATTTGGGAAACCGGGGTCCAGAGAGGTCAAGGCCCTGGGCCCAGTGGAGTGGGGCTGAGGGCTGAGGGCTGCGGGTCCCCCTTCCCCTGACACTCAAGGTGGGCCCTGGGCCAGAGGCTGAGGCAGCCCTGAACTCTGACCCCCAGGAGGCAAGCCGGCCGGGGGCCCCAGGCTCAGAGCGCATCCTCTTGGACATCCTGGAGCATGACTGGAGGGAGGCGCAGGACAGCAGACAGGAGCTGTGCCAGAAGCTGCACACTGTGCAGGGGGAGTTGCAGTGGGCCGAGGAGCTTCGGGACAAGGTACAGTCCCCCGTGTACCATCCCCACCCTGCCCTGCCCCCGCCTTCCGTCTTACACAGCTGGGGAGGCTCCCGGGGAGGAGAGGGCGGTGGGCATCACCAGTTCACTTGTGCCGACCTTCCCTGCAGGTGTGCCAGGCACTGTGCATTCATTCGTTCTCAAGTATTTATTGCGATACATCAGGGAACAAAACAAATGTCTCTGTGCCTGTGGAGGGTAAATTCTAGCAGGGGAGACACACCGTCTGCCATACACACAACCTGAGTCGACCACTTCATGTAGGGGAGGGTAATGAGGGATGTGGGGAAGCAGAGCAGGGCCAGGGAGCAGGTTGCAGTTCAGAGGGAGGCCCAGGCTGGTTGGGAGGGAGTCATCATTATTGGTAGTCCCATTTTACAGATGAGGCAGTTGAGGCCAGGGAGGTGAAGTCAGGCCCAGCTGGGGAGATTGGATGGGTGCGTGTTTTGAGGGCTCAGGCCTCTCTCTCTGGACCTGTTGGGCACCTGCTGGGTCACCAACCTTGTGGTCTGACCCTGGCACGTTCCACCCTGTGCCGCCCCGCCTGCCCGCAGTACCTGCAGGAGATGGAGGACCTGCGGCTGAAGCACCGCACGCTGCAGAAGGACTGCGACCTGTACAAGCACCGCATGGCCACCGTCCTGGCCCAGCTGGAGGAGATTGAGAAGGAGCGGGACCAGGTGAGCCCCACCTGCTGGGCCTGAGGTCGTGGCCCGGTGGGTGGGCAGACGAGGAGAAGCGGACGGGACTAGAATTGTGGGGCACCGATTGGTTAGGAGGGGCATGTAGGCCAGGAGGACACAGGCGTGGGGCCTTGAGCACTCCAGGTATGCCAGCCTTGCCCCTGAGCACACCTGCTCACCTGAGCTTCTGGGACAGTTAGGGAGTTGGTCCTGGGGCTCTTTACTTCTGAATTTCTATTCTCTCTCCAAGTCAAAAGCAAGACCTACGCAGGGGAGGTGCTTGCAGATATTTGCTGATGAAGAAATTCTCTAAAGTTCTGGCTCCCACGCCCTGGGCACCACGGCCCTCTCCGCCTGAGGCCACAGGGTGGGCTGAGCGCCCAGGCCGCTCCTCTGGCCCCAGGCCTGTGCGAGGCCCCCACGCTCTGGGGAGAGCAGGAGGTCCTGTCCCCAGACCAAGTTTGAGTCCCACTAGAGGAGTTGAAGCCGGCACATGAGGATGGGGCTCAGAATACCCTGGCGGGCTCGGTGAAGAGACGGGTTCAGGCTTCACCCCGGACACGCTGGTTCTGTGGTTTGGGTGGGCTCAGGGATCTGCCCTTCGCCCGGTTGCTCCCGGCCACTGGGCCTGTCTCCAGCGCCCTCTGGGGCAGTGGGTCGGTGGCAGGGCCAGGCACGGGCCCAGCTTTCAGGGACCCTGGGCTTCATCGTGGGGAAAAGTGCTTTGGATGCAATGGGATGGGTTTGAGTGAAGGCTCCTCCACTAGGCGGGGGTGTGGTGAGTGAAGCTGGCTACACACAGTAGGTCTCACAGTTTTAAGCTGTTCTTGGGAAATGGTCAGAGCCTGGGTTTGAATCCCAGCCCTGCCCCTGCTGCCTTGGTCTCCTTATTTACAAGACGAGAATAATGAGACTGCCTCACTTGGAGGGTGAGTGTGCTGATTAAATGAGCTGATATTAAGCCCAGGGTCAGGCACAGGAAGTGCTATT